CAGCAGTGTTTGCTGTGGTGGTCCAGCCCCTCTGTGTCCGAGGTCCCTCGTCAGGGGCCTTCCACTAAGGAGCTGATTCTGAACAGTCCAGGTGGCTTGACTCAGGCGTGAGACACAGCCCAGGCCCCAGCCCAGTTCACCCTCTGTTGCTGCAGCTCTTTGTGCCTGTCTCCTGCTGGGGGCTCTCCCCCTGACGCTGAAGGACCTGCTTGAAGAACTTTGTCACTGCAGTGTTCCATGGTGCCTGAACTCAGCAGGTGTCAGCAGCAGGGTTCTTACAGCACTGGGCTCAGAAGACGTGGCTGGCACTGCCCAGAGCGCACCAAGCAAGCGGAGGACCTGGAGTCAGTGGCCAGTGGACTGCTCACGGTGAGTCCGGGGAGAATGGTCAACAAGGCTGATGGTCAAGGCACCCAGGTAAAGACTGGGGTGGACAGACCTCCCTCAGATACCCCAGAGCAGTATCACAGCTTCCATTGGTCTCACGAGCCCTTTGCAAGCCCAAATGATATGTCCATCCTGTGCCGCTCTGAATTGCCCTTAGAGGCCCCTGTGCCCAGGGGAATCTGCAGGACTGCACACACCTCCGCTGGCCCTCAGGCCTCTCAGACCCTGCACACACCTCCGCTGGCCCTCAGGCCTCTCTGCTTGGCACAAGCTATTTAGGCACCAAACATAGCTGGGCAGGTGGGTCGCACTGGACAGGAAACCCCTCCTCACTGGGGCATGCACTGCTCACTGACCCTGAGGCCCAGTGTCCTCCTGCCCTCCACAGGTCCCTTCAGCAGTGCTTTCCCACGAGCCCTTGGCTGGACGTGCTCTCACCTCAGGCGCATGCCTGCCCACACTCACCAAGCTGTCTCCTCACTGTGGCCGTCCAGCCCCTGTTTGATCCTGGCACCAGTGGGCCAGGCTTACAGAGAGCAGGACCACCCAGTGAGACGTCGTGGGGAAACAGGAAGGCTGCACTGGACTGCGGTAGCCATGACTAGGAAAGCAGCCCCGAGCTGAGCACAGGGGGCCAGGACACCAGCTGGGCCCACTGCAGCTGCGGCACGGTCAGCCTGCATCACTCAGGGTGTGACCTTCTGGGCCACCGATCAGTGTTCCTCCATACAAAGTTCTAAAAACAATTGGCTACTTGGAACAAGAGGCCACTGCGGTGGCAGGTGTGTCCACACTCAGAGTCCCTGTGAGCACATCGACATCCTGGTGGGCACTTTACCTTTGTGTGGTTCATCCAACACCCATTACACTAAGGCAGTTGTTAAAAATACAGAAACAAAGATGATGAGGCCATGATACTGCAATTTTTTTCTGAAAAGGCCAGTGAACCGACCTCTCTGAGGTCCAGCAGGACCCAAAAATTGTCTCGTGGATCCACTGTTGTGGTGTTTGTCACTGGGGTAAGAAGGAATTAGGTTGTGGAGTCAGATAGTGGCCAGTAGGCGACATCATGGGATACTAGCAAGCAGTGCAGATATGGGCAGTGCTGGATCCCTGGACCGCAGGACGTGAAGGTCCCAGGCCTCTGCCTGCCAAGTGCCCCCAGCTCCATTTCTCTCCAAGCTGGGCATCGCTGTGGAGGAGACCCCTCTCCTTTGTTCACCAGGCTGCTCCCTGGGCTTGGCTGCTTTCCAGCTCTCTCTCAGAACATGGAACATGTGGGGAAGTTCAATGGGAGAAAGCAGCAGGTGGATATTACAAGGAAGCAGGCTGCAAAGATGGGAAAGGGAGAGGCAGGTAGAGCAGGAACATCCAGCTGCCCAGCGGAGCACTCTGCTCACGTGTCTGAGCTGAGGGAGCAAGGGCCAGGCATGTGTTCAGCCCACCCTCCACAGAGCGCCAGCCCTTGCCTTGCAAGGAGGGCAGGTCTGAAGCAGCTTGCTTGTCCTCCTCTACAGAGCGTCTCTGTCTCTGGAGGTGTCTCTGGGTGTGTCCCTCAGCCCACGACTCCTGACAGTACACATGGCTGAGCTTGGAGAACGGCTGGAACACCCCCATGCCTGAGCTCAAACTGCAGATCTCCGGGACATACTCTTGAGATTGCTGGCCTTAGTCTCTCTAGTTCCCACCCGACCCCTACCGACTCCCTTTGATGGACAGGTCAAAGGGAAAGGGGGTGCATGTGTTTAAAAAAGAAAGAGAGGAGGCTTTGGGACCCAGCAAAGACAAGGCAGGACTCTCACTGATGGTCTGTCAAAGGGCCCCTGTAATCTGGTGGGAGAAGGATTCATTGTTCCAGAGGGTACAGTGGCTTTTTGTTTTCAGAGCTCTTGCAACAACTAAGCCTATTTTCTGGCTTTGCCCAATCTGAAATAGGAGGTGGGGGAGGCGGAGGTCAGAGAAGTCTGAGAAAGCAGCTCTCCCAGTGACCAGAGGTACACCTGTTGGGGGCAGGGAGGGATGGGCAAAGCTCTGATTTAAACAGCCCCCACCCATGGGTGGGCTTCCCTGGCCCCAGTGACCAGGAAACACTGCCTCCTGACACAGGAGTGCTGCACAAAGCCCCCCATCCCTCCACCCCTCCCCGCCTCCCTCTCCTGGGCTAGGCAGCGCCTCTGGGAACACACCAGGACTGGGCAGCTGGGGCAGAGAGGAATATGGCAAGGGACAGGGCCCCGCATTTGCATTCGCTGCCAGAGCAAGCTGGAGTCTGCATGCTGCAGCGGGCAGAGGCAGAGCACAGCAGGCAGGCGGCCTGCACGGGCCATGGCTCAAGGCACACCCAGGGAGCACGCCCTCACCCCAACCTGCGTGTGCAGAGGTGTCTCTGTTGCTCACAGTGGCGGCAATTAAAGCCCATGACATGGTAGGCATGTTTTGTGGAGTCACACAATTCTGGCCAGTTTACCTAAGAAGAATGGCCTTCAGCCATTACCTGATTCACGTTAGTCACGCAGAGCCTTCCGGGACAGCCAGAGCACAGGCAGGTTTCAGATGGGAAGGACGGGTCCAAATGGGGCTCCAGAAAGAAGGTAGGACGTGGCAGGTAGAGAAGGAGCCACGAGGATAGGCCCTGTGTTCTGACCTCCACTTCGTCCAGAAGGGGGCCAGGGCCTTGCTTGTCTGCAGACCACGCTCGCCCAGGAGCAGCTTGGCCTGGCTCACAGCTACCCATCCTCACGGCACCCAGAGTGCAGCTGAACACCATCACAACTTCACTACACCAAAATGCACCGAGCCTCAGCGACTCGCTCAGAACCCACGCTCCAGCTCCAGAAAGTGAGTCAGTCACTGCTGGTGACCCTCCATGATGTCACAGCATGCTCCACAAGTCTGTGCTTCCTCCTGCACCCGGGGCCTTCACGAGTCTAAGTTGTTGCTTATCAGGGGAGTCTACAGTAGCTAGCTGAGCACTTCTTCTCCTTCCATGATCCAGCATGAGTTATCATGGAAGAAAACATAGTCACAATAAAAAAAAACAACAACAATTTTCAGCCAGGCATGGTGGCACACACCTATAAACCAAGTGACTTGGGAGGCTGAAGCAGAAGGACAACTTACTGAGACCTTGTCCAAAATAAAATAAAAAGCTCTAGGGGTGTAGTCAGAGATAGAGCACTTGCCTATCACATGAGAAGTCCTGGTTTGATCCACAGCACCACAAAACAACAGAAATCAAACAACTTTTACTATTCTATTTAAAGAACTATCAAAGAATTTTCTTAAGAAAATTATATTGTATTTTTCTTAACTTTGCTTAGTTGTTTAAAAAACTTTACATTTTACTATGAAAAGAAGCACACAAAGAAATTCATAAACCATACATCTAATGAAGTATTATAAAGCCAGCAGTGTGTGGTCAGGTCACAGAGCACCAGGCCAATGCCCAGCGCCTGCTGGGCCTCTCCACCCACAGCCTGCCCCAGGGGGACTTGAGTTCTTTTTGCACTTTGACCTGCAACCTCACCTCGTGTTCCCAGAAAGCCCCAGAGCAAGAAGACACCAACCAGTCCCACCATGTGGGCAGCATTGTTTTAGGACACATCCAAACTTCCCCTGTCCAGGGGCCACCTGTAACTGACCCCAGCTACTCTTGGCCTCAGACAGGCAGGGACTCCTCATAAGCCTGCCCATCAGCTCCGAAGAAATTAGAGATTGGGGTCAAGCCAGTTAGGTAATTTATCAACCAACCAAGCCCAGTGATTCTCTGTGACAAGGACACAAGATGCTGGAGGTGAATGTCACTTTTATGAATAAAACAAAGCAGAACCCTAGCAAGGGAGCAAAGACTCTGGTTAAGCAGGGCACAGCAGGCACCAGTTTCCTTCCTCCCGAAACCTGGCCTAATCACTTATGTTTCTAAAGTAGAGAGAGAGGAAAGGTCCTCAAGAACCAAGAGGGCAGGCCCAGTCAAGTCCAGGGCAGGAGGCTCCTGCACTATGGGGAGGTAGGAGGTGAAGCCCACTCAGGGCTTACTAGGGCCAGAGGAGCACTCGGTGCCTCTGTAGGGGCTGCAGGAGGGGCTGAGAACAAGTGGGCTATTGAAGAGTGTGCGGGATACTCCATGCCCAGGGCCTGTTCCACCCTAGGGAGGCCACTGAAGAAGGGAAGGCCTGGCCGTCTGGACACAGACTTTGAGATGGAGCAGGTGCAGTGCGTGGACAGTGAGCCCTCGGCCACAGGGTCCGTGGCACTCCTTGCTGGGAGCACACAAGCAAGCGGGAACCGCTGGTGTGCTGGAGTCAGCTGTGAGAAAGAGCTGGGAGCAAATCCAGAGGGCCGGCTCTCACACTTGTGCCCTGTGCCAACCAGCATCTGCAACACAGAGGACTGAGCTCTGTTTGCATCCTGAGGGGTTTGATTTCATGATTACAACTGAGACACCTGCTTTCCTTTCTGCAGAAGCACAGGTGTACAGATGCCCCTGATTTAGTATTAAAATACACATACCCACAGTTGTCATCTGTTTTCTGAGCTCTTGAGAAAAGGGACAGCCCCAACACTATGACAGACTTTGGGCGACCTGGAGAGGACTAAGTTCTCTGAAGACTTACAGCACAAGGCCACAGGACAAGGACCCAGCAGAATGCAGTTAATGGAGCGGAAGGCAGGTCTGAGACACAGGGGACCATGCTTGGGCTAGGCCAGGACTCATACCTTTGTCACGGTCAACGATGCACTGTACTCTGTGAAGGGAGAGAGAAAACGCTGCATGTGGCCAGAGTGGCCACCACATACCTAAGTCTTCAGAGTTCCCTTGGACAGGAGGCCCTCCAGGCCTCTGAGGGCCGAATGGCTTGGTGGGCTCTGAGCAGCAGCCTCAGGGGATTCAGCTGAGTGTGCATACGAAGCAGAGAGGACAATCTGGTACTGACATCCCAGGTCTTAAAGGTGTGGCTGCCATAACATTTCCAGAACTCCAGTGTGCAGGAAGTCAGGCCTTTGAACCTGGAACAGGGGAAGTGTGGGAGGGACAGGTCAACCAGTCTCTGCTTAGACAGCTGCCTTGAGAGCTGAGCCAGAGGCGAGACCCCATGCAAGGTGGCCCAGGTCACCAGCAACCAGCTTGCACCTGGCTTTGCTTCAGGACAGAGAGGGGCTCACACAGCCTGAAACCTGCAAGTTGGCTGCATGCTGGGCAGGGAGAGGCAGGACTTACCTCACAAATCAGGCTAAGACTGAGCTTCTTTCAAAGAAAGCTGCTTCCTATCCAAAATCAAGCAGAAGGCAGGCTATGCCATGAACCCACATCCCCTCCCTGCATACTCTGCACCCATCAGGAGAAGAGCTGGGCTGGGGACCCACCTGACTAAACGCTGGCTGATCCACTGAGAGGATTAGGGGCTGAGGCCAAGTAGGAGGACAGGTGGCTGTAGCTCTGGACAGTCAGTGCATCACAAATCAAAACCAAAACTCTTAAAAGCATTAGCTTGTTTAACAATAGTGATAGGGCTGGGGATGTGGCTCAAGCAGTAGCACGCTCCCCTGGCATGCGCGGGGCACTGGGTTCGATCCTCAGCACCACATAAAAATAAAATAAAGACGTGTGTCCACCGAAAACTAAAAAATAAATATTAAAAAAATTCTCTCTCTTTAAAAAAAATAGTGATAAACCTAGTACATGTTAACTTGTTTCCCAAAACAAATCAGTCTGGCAAGAAAGCAAACTGCATGTTTTTCATCTTCTTTGTCTTCTGCAGCTGAGCAGAAGGTGGGAGGTGCTGCAGCGGGAGGGGTGCCTTGTGGTGACCCAGGCTCCAGGCTTGTGTGAGACATGCTGGACAAGACGTGTGGGTCTGTCACCGACACGTATGAAGGCCTGAACAAAATCCCCAGTGCTGAAAGAGAGGGAAAAGAAAAGAGATGCTCAGTTCTGAACAGAGCCAAGCTCCACAGCAGGGATCTGATGTGTGGCCAGGGAACAGAGTGCTAGATGGAGAAGATGTTAGAAGACAAAGGGACCCAGGAGGGGGATGGAGGAGGGCCACAGCCCTCTGCAGGATTCCAGGAAAGACCGCACTCAAGGAGAGGAAGGGCCCTGCGATGCTGCCACACAGCAGGTGCAAGCAAGCTGGAAGGGCACCTGCCACCCAGCATTTGGGCGATGGAGTGGCAGTGTTTGCAGACGGAGGCCACACAGAGCTAGTGAGGTGGAGAGAGCAGGAATCGAGGAAGTGGGGCAGTGTGGGCAGAAGGCCTGTCGAGTGGTTTTCTAGACGGAGTAGATAAGGCAGTTGCTGTGAGAACCAATGGGTCTTAATGACGGAGACTTACAGCACCTGGGAGCAGCCCTGTGCCTGCCACAAGAAGAAGTGGGACAACTAGGCAAGAGGGCCCCATGTCATCACTCGGGGATCTCCCAGTGCTTAGTACAGTGACACTGGCATTGCCACCATCCCAGGTGGTGGCAACGCCCACCAGTGCATGGAGCAGTGAGTGCAGAGGCTCCTCACAGTGACATCTTTTCTACTTGCAGTGACTGGAAGGCACCCCTTGGCACGAGAGATCGCCGGAGCAAGATACATCCAAGGTGAGGACTCCGATGCCCTGCTAAGAAGTCGAGCTCCATGAGCACTGTCACGGAGGAATTTCCTACTCACAAGGGCTACAACATCAGAAGGCAAGTGGAAAGAAGATGCTACCGCAGTGATAAGAAGGTCAATGAGAAGACCTGGGCACGTGCTTCATTTTGCACAAGACCTAAACAATCAGGGGTTCACTGGGTGCAATGGCACACACCTGTGATCCCAGCACCTCGGAAGGCTGAGGCAGGAGGATCGTGAGTTCAAAGCCAGCCTCAGCAACGGCAAGATGCTAGGCAACTCAGTGAGACCTTGTCTCTAAATAAAATACAAAATAGTGCTGGGGATGTGGCTCAGTGGTCCAATGCCTCTGAGTCCAATCCTCAGTACTCAAAATAAATAAATAAACAAACAAATAATAAATATCCGGGGATCCCATGCTCATGTATAGAAAGCTGTGAAAAGTACTCCCAAACTCACCTGTGAGTTCCATGCGATATCAGTGCCATGCCAGGACGGGGTGGGCAGGTGAGGAAGCAGGGGCTGCACTAAGTACAGCCATCAGTGCTCACATCTCGCCCTTCTACCTAGGTTTCCAAATGCTATTCCTCACCAGAGGAGCTTCCAGAGGGCAGAGGAAGGCTTCCTACTGTGTTAGAAAAGGAAAAAAGAGGGCCCTGAGGCGACTTGAGCAGGCCCCACTGCACATGTGGGCATTTGCACAGACAATAATGAATCTAATCTTGGACAAGATGAACCAAGTCAGGGTAGAGGAGGCGCAGAGAGTGGAGCTCTCCTTAGGCTAGAGAGCTGGCCATGGTGAGCACAGCGCAGGGGTGACAGGTGAGTGCCATCTTACTGAGCTCGGTGGAGACCAATCCAGGGCACCAGGGGTCTCCAGGAAACAAAACACTCAAAGCAGTCTCAGCAAGTTATCTGATAATGTGGGAAATAGTGACTGACCAGTGGGGGAGCCAGACAACATCCTAAGTGGGTGACCAGCAGGGGGTAAGCAGACAAGTGCCCTGGGCATGATACCCCAGGGAGGACCATATTTACATAGTGCCCTAGACAAATGTATGTAACTTAAATCCATCCCGTCAAAAGGGATATTCTGTGACATAACAGCTAGTATTCTTCAAAATACCAATGTCACTGAAGACAGGCTGTTCCTGGCCCTTAAGTCAGTCCCCGTGGCAATAAGAGCTGGTGCCTTTGCAGGCATGTGACTTCCTTTTAGCCAAAAGGAGGCTGGAGAGCAGGAAAGGCGGCTCGCGCTCAAGGCTCTTGGCATTTGCCAAGGAAACACACCCTTCCAAGAACACCCCCATGCTCACTGGCCAGCCTAGGACATGAGGATAACCAGGGTGGCTAGGGAGACAGGAAGCCCCTGGGAAGGGGAAACTGAGCAGGGTTTCACCATGACTAAGCCAAACTACTAGCTACAAATCAGAATGTAAAAGTCACTTTTGGCGAGTGAGCTTTTCCCTGAGCTGCACTTTTTCCACGACCACATACTTTGCATCTGAGACAGCTGTGAGCTAAGAGAAAATGCACAGTGGAGTACTGCCAGGGCAGTCTTGCCCCACCCAAGCTTCAGCTCTCTGTACAAAACTTTGTGGGGCCTGAGGTCCTGTCCTCCCTGTGTGTGCAACAAACTCTCTGGGGTGGGCCAAGTTTGCTGAGAAATTCCTTATGACAAAAGAAATTGTAGCCGAGAAGGGCCAAGTTCCAGTTGGAATTTTATATGTCATGTATTATTTTTTATAAACAGCACAGTAAGTATTACAAAAATTACAAAAAGGATTAAAAGTTTTTTGTGCAAACTTTCATCAGGTACTTTTCAGACTAAAAGACCTGACATTTAATACCTTTCTGTAATAACTGAGGATTTTAACTAGGGGTGAATTTTTGGAGTCTTTGGGCTGGTCTGGGGTGGTGGTGTAAACAGTGAAGTAAGGTGAGTGGGGCTTCAGGCAGATTAGAGAGTAGCCGTGAGAGTGCCAAGTACAATCAGAAGGCCAATACATGCCTGAGAAAGGCGTCCACGTGGGGGGTCCAGAGGTGAGGCCAGGGCACCCCAACCACCTGGGGAGTGCAGAAGGAAGGCAGTGGTCCTGCTTGTGGTACTGGCTTGTTCAGCACTGCAGGGAAGGAGACTGACTCATTAAAAAAAAGAAAATGGAGATTTCTGAATTTTTCACATTATGGCACTAAAATATGACTAGGTAAGCATGTTTTTGCTATCAAAACAGTAATATGCAGAGTATGTATTAATTACTGAAAGAGGAAAGTTTACTTCCGAAGGAATGGTGACTGAATAAGCTCTCCTAACAAAGCAGACAGTGACTTAGAGACAGAGGCGACTCGAAAGCATTGGCGAGCATCAGCCAAAGCCAGGTTGTTTCTGTTGGTGTGCTCTTAGGTGGAGCCATGCACAGCCGGGCTCCTGGCTCCCTCTTCCTGCAGTACTGGGCCCCCAGGCAGGCCCATGAGGGCCTCAGGCTGTGGGCAGCCTCACAGGAAGGCCAGCGCACTGCACTCCCCATGCAGAGTGGGGTCTGAGGCAGACACGGGCGGCCTCATTTTGAGGGAACCCCAAGAAAAGTCAGCAGCCCAGTGCTCCCCTGTACTCTGACCCCAGAGGGGCAGCTTCTTCCCATCTAGCCTGTCCCAGGTGCCTCTGTCCAGCCCCCTGCTGCTGATCTCCTGGCACCTAAGGCACAGCAGGCAGCGCCAGGGAGACCCGGGCAAGCGGGAGCTGGACTCTGCCGTCCTCTGTGCCTGGGCACCACTCCCAACTCATATGATGTATGTCCAGTCTGAGGCCAAGCAGAGAAAGGCATCCTATGCAACAGGGCACTTCTGACTGGTACTTCTCCAAGCTCGTGCCACTGTTGCTGGGTGGGGCCCACGAAAGCAGCCCACAGCACTCCTGAGGCATGGTGGCGGCCCATGAGCCTGAGGTCCTGCTGTCAGCGTTACTAGGCAGCCCCAGTGTCTCTCCACTTCTTCAATCTGCACGACAGCATCGTGGTGGAGTAAACGCACCGTCTTCAGTAAAACACCTAGGACCTGTCTCACAGAAGAAAGGGTTAGTATGCCGTCAACTTATGGGCTCCCAGTGGGAGAGGCCAACCCCAGCAGACCTCACCCAACCTTGTGCCTGCCGCCGTTTCTCCCCAGTTCCCCCTGGCTGGGCCAGTCCTCAGTGACTACAGTTCTCTGCAGAGAATGTCACCTACAGCCACAGGCCATGGTGGGACACTGCGCGAGGTGAAGCTGGCCACCCTACCTTGGTCGATGTGCCCTTGACAGATGTTCTGTTGCCCTCTGGGGTTTGCATCTGTTTTCTGACAGGTGCCTGCTGGGCAGACATGTGACAGTCGTTCCCTGCTCAGACACCCACCCAGTCACTGGGTGTCCTCCCAAGCTAGGCATGGCAGCTACTGGAGACGTGCCAGGAGGTCAGGCAGGCACCACCCTGTGAGCCTGGAGCCAGTGACATCTCCTGCGGCAGGGGCATGAGGGTGGCTCTGTTAATAGTACCTGCCACTGTGGGTGCTGAGTGTCAGGCTCTTGCCCTCACCAGAGAATCAGTGCCTGAGAAGGGCTGTGGACCAGCGGAGGCCCTCTGCTATCCTTCCATCCCTTCTGCCACCTGAGGATCTGGCCTGTTCCCTCCGGGGACGTAGCCACAGTGCGAAAGGAGGCTGGGTCCCTATCTGACACTGAACCACAGCTTCTTGACCTTGGACTGCCAGCCTCCAGAACCAGGGCAATCAGTCTGGGATTGTGCTGTCATAGCAGCACAAGGACTGAGACCCACAGGAAGTGCCCACCAGGCTGGGCACCATACCCGAGTCGGCTGGTGCTGACGCACCCAGGAGCAGGCATGGCACGCAGGGGCCGTGTCACCATGCGTAACCACAGCGGCTCCCAGCCTGGAGCTCCCCGGCTGTGCAGTGGAGGCATCGGTACTTCCTGCAGGGCTGCCAGTCAGAGAAAGGGGGACATCACGAGACCCTTGGGTTGAGCTGAAGCATTGCCACCATGAGCAGAGCTACACCAGCTGGGCCACACTTTGGGGAGCGGTGGGACGCTGAGAGGAGCAGGCTTGGTGCTAGATGAGAAGGGGTGGTGGACAGGACAGTCCCCCTCCCTCCTTGTCCCACGTTCTGAGTCATTCAGGCTTCCTGGCCCATTTGGTTATCCAACTTTGAAAAAAAAAAAAACAAAACATGGACACCAAGAAATATTTCCTACCCACCGAGAAAGCACAGTGCCAAGGTGCGGCACCATGGCAAGCCAAAGAACCAGGCCAGCCCACGGAGTGCTTTCCTCCCACCGTCACCAGGGGAGATTAAAGGCCAACACTGCCCCATCGTGCAGTCTTTCAAGTGACTGCAGAACCCCTGACTGTTACCTGAAGCCTCCCAGGAAACGCCTGTTCCAACTCCACCAGAGGAAGCCTGAGGCATGAGGCATGGGTCTTGATGGTAGCCAGCGCAGCCACTGAGTGGGCTGGCAGGCTCACACCAGCAGGCTGCTCGCCAGCACTGCCAGTACCACGCCATGTGTCAGGTCCGCTCGTACGCTGGTGGGGGACAGGCACCGTGCGACCTGGAGGGTGCTACCATCCACGGGGCAACAGAGGCACAGGCTACTGGGTCCCAGCATTCCAAAGCCTTGTGCTCCTCACTGACAAGCCCCTACTCAGAAAGGAGCCACGCGTGCAGGACACCCCCTGAGTGGGTAGGCTGGCGGTCCCATCCACCAAGAAAGAGGGCGTCAAGTGTGGACCCCTGAGGAGGACAGACTCCCAGTGAAGTACAGACACCAGTTCAGCCCAGTGCTTGAAAGTGCTTCTCGAGCACATGAGGTTTGACTGTCACATTTGTTTCCAAGACAACATATCACCAGGTGTGCAAATACTACCTGGGTACAGCGTGGTAAAAGTCAGGTGCATTGGAGACCCCTTCTCAAGAGCTGGTTGCAGGTCCTGGTCAGTGAGGGAAGTTTACTTTAAGAGGTGGGAACTGACATTCATTCGGGTTCTGTAAACATCAGTCACTTTATTAAACTTCTGCCCAGTGGAAAACCACCAGCTTATGCTGGTTCCATGGGACAGGGCAGAACGGAGCAGCCATCAGGAGCAACAGGGTTCTTAGTTAAGGATCTTAGCAGGGACATAGCTTAAATACTTTTAGGATGAGATAAATAGGCATATATCTTGATCTAAATACAATCAATAAAGTTAAAGCACCAGTCATCAAAATACACTATCCCAAGAGTTCCATGGTGCAAACAAGCAGGGGTCACATGATTTTAAGAGCAATAAAAACATATTTTCTGCAAGCACTTATTCAAAGGTGCTTTGATAAAAATATACTTTCACTTTTAACTATGTACTTATGGGGAATAAAATGTTTGTTTGTAGGTCTGTCAACACTGCTAAGTTGGTGTGCAGATTCTACCTGGGTACAGTGTGGTAAAAGCCAGGTGCATTGGAGACCCCTTCTCAAGAGCTGGTTGCAGGTCTGCCCAGGGCCACTAGGGTCAACCACACATCTCAGGGAAGAAGTCCTCAATAACTTGCCTTAAAGTCCACAAATATCAATCAAGGATCCAGGGTCTGGCCTGGGTACCTACAGGCCACCATCAAGTAAAAACGGCTCTGAAATCCAGACACATCTGCTTGCTGAACACTTACCTTATTCTGTCAATTGAGAAATACAATGTCAATAAAAATCATTTAAAAATCTTTCTTGATTAAAAAAAAAAAGTGGAAGTTTTTATAACTTGCACTCCCGTCAGGGCAGGTGGCATCCTGGGTGGCAGTCTCCTACCCAGGGCCACCGCAACGGCTCCACTGCCACTAGGTGGTACCATTACACACCAGCTTTAAAAGGCCATACACTGGGACTTCCTTAGGCCAATCCTTTCCAACTAAAGGAAAATGTCTTTGGAATAATACACACCGAATGTGAGCCTGCGGCTAAGAGGAGTCAACGCAGCCCGGAGCACACCCGCTAGGAGCACCGCAACGAGCACTCCCCAGCCGGCAGTGTGCCTGCCACCAGGGCTCCTCCTCCGAGCTAACTGCCTGCAGGAACAAGCCAGAGGAGTCCAGGAAGTCACAGTGGCAAAGATCTGCTCCGGAAGGTGAAGGAGGCCTCGTAATACTCTGTGGCTACTTCAGAATTAATACTAGTGACTAGAAAGCCAGGGTTTCACTTAGCGCTACACAGATAGTCAAGACCTTATTTGTTACAAAAGTCACTGTTCTCGGAGCTGTGGAACCCATGTGCTGCATCCACAGACACAGTGGCCCACCTGGTCCCGACTACGGCCACTATGGCTTCTTCTTCTGCAGCACCTGACCATTGGTCCTCTCTGGCCGGCTGCTCTTGGTCTCAGGCTGTGCAAAGTTCCAATCCACTGGATTGAGAAGCTGCTGGGTCTTCTTGTGGGTCCAATATGGATTAATGATGAGTGTGAGCAGGGCCAGCCCAACAAGGAACAGTGCGAAATGAGGCAGGTACAGGCTGCTGACGAGGCGTCCCCAGTGCCAGAAGCACACCCACCACATGTGGTAGGTGAGGACCATGCGACAGTGAAACATGTGGATCATCAGCCACTGGTTGAGCTTCCAGAACAGCGTCTCGGACCAGCCGGCCTGCGGACCAACAAACGAGTGTCAGCATGCAGCCAGCCAGCCTGCTCACACCTAAGGAGGCCTCGTCCTCTGCCAGCAGCGGGCTTTCTGGCCAGGGCTCCGTGCTCCCTGCGTTTCACTCTCAGAGCACCTGGCTCTGAACCTGAGCGCCTGAGCCCTGGTGAGCCCTGCTGGCACCTCACCTGCCAGCCTTGTCACTCTTGATTTCTGCTCCCTGAAGCTTTGCTTTACCTTGAACTTGCACACATTGGGAAAATCAGCTCTGCTTATGTAGCAACAGCAGAAGATAGATGCCATCAAGCCCTGCACCTTGACTCAGGAAAAGAACCTTCTAGAACAGAGAAGCTCAGGGTAAAATGCAGGTCCTGGTTCACTTTTCTTTGTTTGTTTGGTACTGGGGATTGAACCCGGGGGGTACTACTGAGCCACACCCCCAATCCCCAGCCATTTTTATATTTTATTTAGAGACAGGGTCTTGTTTAGTTGCTTAGGGCCTTGCTAAGTTGCTGAGGTTGGCTTTGAACTTGTGATCCTCCTGCCTCAGCCTCCTGAGATGCTGGGATTACAGGCATGCACCTCCGCACCTGGCTCTGGTTCAATTCTTAATATTTCAACGTCATGAGTCCTTGGACACAGGCCAAAATGGACTTGCCTTAACTATGCTGAGTGACCACTGAAGCTAGTTCCAGCGTAACTACTGGGCCTGACCCATGAGACCAGGAACACAAGGGGCGGGGCCCTGCCTGATGCAGACCAAGGTACTTCCTGGCACCAGCTCCTTCCCAGGACTGGGATACTGTCCTGCACTTGCAAAAGGACATCAGCAGCAGGAGCAGCCACACCGGATGCAGGGCAAGCGAGAGAGACAGGCAGGGCCAACCTCTGAGACACGTCACTTCAACCTCCGCAGTCACTGAATCAACAAGACAGGTATGCTGCTCTCATGCTGGCCTGAAAGTGTGCACACCACACTGGCAAAAACCAGGGGACGGGATCAAGACACAAGGAATTATCTTGGTGATACACAGGAAAAATAGACAAAGAACTTATGTTTTATTCCAAACATTGTGAATGTGCCCCTGAAATAACCTCCTGAGAAGGCAGCAGATCAGACACACCTGCTCTTCCTCACACTAGACAATGCACAGGGAACCTGCATGTGGAGCAGCCTGGGCTTACATACCAGTGTGTGCACGTGGCCATAATCCTAGAGGTTTAGAGGCTGAGGCAGGGAGATCATGAGTTCAAAGCCACCCCTGGCAACATAGTGAGTACCTGTCTCAAAATAAAAATCTGAAAAAGGGCTGTGGCTCAGAGATTGGTTAAGTGTCTTGGGTTCAATTCACTTCTTTGGCATCTTGGGCTGTGGTGTGGAAGTTCGTGTCCCAAAGACCGAGTCCTGAGGCTCATTCATTACGGATTCTAACCACATCTAGACCCAGCCCTAGGCATGAGCCACCCTGTGAGCCTGGCAAGGCTACCTAAGTCAGGCTGGCCTCTTGTTTTGATTTATATCCTTTAGCCCTGTCAAGTCAGACTCAAAGATGGGAAATTCCAGGATCCGGACACCCCACTCTGCAACAATCCACGAGCTTTATTAGGAGCTCAAAAGAAGTTGGATGTTTTAAACACAGCCTTCACTTATAACACTTAGTATCTGAAACAGGACAGTAAAAAAGCAGAGCCCCGGGTCATACCGACCCTCAGCTGCATTAACTCAGGAGGCGCACTTCTGGGGTGGGTCTGCTGGCCATGTGCAGTCAACTGGAGGAGGGTAAGAAGTAAATGCTCGTCTCCGTCCTGCACAAACTGCACCCTCAACAGCAACCCCAACAGTCTCTCACTAGTGGTCACTCCACCTGTGACAGTGTCCCCGAGGTGCTGAGGGCTCCCGGGCTGGCCCCACCACACCTGAGGAGCAAGCACCTGCAGAAGCCCCTCGCTGGGAGGCAGGCCCTCCAGGAGGTGCAGGCCACTCCCGTCTCGGCTGGAGGGACAGGATGTGGGGAGCCCAGCCAGCCCCAGCCCTGACTTCCTGAGGAATGCAGACAGGAAGCCCTCCATGTCTGTCTGCCTTCCTCTCCTCTCCTTGCTATCCCCTTCCTTTCTCCTGTTTCTCCTCCCACATTTTTTTGGTGTGTTATTGTGAGATCTGCTGTGACACATCCGTCCATGCACACGTGACAATATAGTTGGCCAATATTACTCTCCAGCACGTCTCCTTCCCTCCTCGCCTCCCACTCCTTCCCCTTTTCCTCTATGGACCTCTCTTTGACCTTTAGGGGACACTCCCGCCTTTGTTTTCTCCATATGTAAGAGGAAACACATGACCCTTCACCTTGAGTTTGACTTATTTCACTTAACGTGATGGTCTTTAGTTCCACATTTTTCCTGAAAATGCCATAATTTCATTTTTCCTATGGCTGAATAAAACACAGTTGTGTATATACACCATATTTTCTTTTTCCATTCTTCCCTTGATGGCCACCTGGGCTGGTTCCATAGTTTGGCTATTGTGAATTGTGCTGCTATAAACATGGGTGTGCCTGTGTCACTAGAGTACAATGACTTTAATTCTTCAGGATAAATACCAAGAAGTAGGATAGCTGGATCATACGGTGGTTCCATGCCTACAGTTTTGAGAGGCCTCAAACCTCGCCCCTCAGGGATCCCTGCAGCTCCTCATTAGCCTTCTAATGGTGGGAACTGTTTGTCTCCAGTGGCTGCAGGGGACACTCGGTACTGTAGTCTGTGGTACCCACCTCATGCATCTTCACTGCACATGCCTCAGAAGGGGCCGTGACCCTGAGCACTCCTGTCACCTAAAGACATAACCAGCTATCGCCCAAATGGGGTCATGGCAAATGCAGGTCCTAGCACAAGGCTGGGCACACAGCTGGGTCTCCTATGACACAACAGGCCTACATCCAGTAGATCCTGAAGTACACAGCTGGTGCTGCACAAACGCTTGTCACACCAACTAGGTGACACACCATGCCATCACCCACTGGCTCTGAAGGCTGGAACAACATTTTTATACTCATTCATTTCCCTTCACAAAGCTTACCTACCACAGTGTTCTGATTGAGAAACGCTCCAAAATATGACCTATATGCCTGAATTATTAAACACTAGTGGTATTTCAAGTTCTGTATAAAATACTCCGTGAACAAGGTAATATATCATAAAAGATTGCAAGATTCTTACCAAAAAAATTGTCAAAAAGGATTTAACATGAAGATAATTTTGACACCAAAATGAGAATCCTCAGCATGTACAGAAGACACACATTAAAATATGCGTCTTCTAAACAAAAGGGAAGATCTGGGCAAGTCTCCACACTAGGGGCCAAGTCTGGCCACTTGTGAACACCCTGTGGCACCACGTGGCCTGGGGTCAGCATGGCCATCTGAGCCAGGGCGAGTGAGAACTAAAAAGCAATAAGGATATATGTGTACACATAGGTATTACTTCAAAATTTTTTTTAAGCATTGAAAGAAAAAAAAGCATGTTTTCAAAAAGAAAGCAAAGTATCTTAAGGAGCAATAAGTATGAAAAGCTTAAAATCAAGAAATCAATAATAAAATTGAAGCTAATAAAATTCGACTACATGAGCTTCTTCCTGCATGGGTGGGCTGTGGTCCTGCTGCCGATGGGTCCACAGTGCTCAGCCAGAGGTTAAATGTTCAAGGCACCTTGTCCAGCATCCTCTGCAGTAACCACCTCCCGTAGATATGCTTACCTTTAAGAGCATCCAGGAAATGCAGGTAAAGGGGGTACTCATCTCCAGCAGCAATGTGGTCATCGCTAGGTAGTGGCCAGCTCTGAGATTGATCGCTGAGCCTAGAAATCCAAGAAAGGCAAAGAGGTGGTGCACAACCAGGAACAAGTCAAAGGTACGGAAGAACATGTTGGACAGGTGAACGGCCACATTTTCAAAGAAGAAGAACCCTGTGGCTGTGGTGATGTGGAACCAGCACCAGTTTTGCTGGCCAAGCGCTTTGTCAGCTTGAAGCACAGGGTCCCACAGCAGAGCCCACAGGCCCGCAGCTGAGCTCTGGACACCAAAGACAGCCCGCGTGGCTGCCAGGTCCCAGAAGACCTTCTCTCTGGCCCCTAGAGAACGGTAAGTGGCGTTGAGGGAGGACGACAGCTGGTGGCAGGCCACAAAGACACCCAGGTAGAAGACAAAGCCTGCGACCACCAGTGTGGAGCGGATCTCCCAGGAAGCATAGTCCAGGTCAAAAACGCTGTTGGATGTGCCCCCTTCGCTCACAGGAGTCATTGTCCCAAACCATACACCAGAGTAGTCCTGGGGCCAAGGACGTCTGGGGGCTGCTGGGCCCTGTGCTGTGACTTGTGGAAGGAGACAGTGCAGCTCGCGCTGGGATCTTCATGTATCCGCCTTTGATCTGAAGAAGAGAATGCACCGTATGTTGACTTTACCGAAGGATGCATCATTGCCCCAGCAACACACACTCAGAAATACTTCTTTAATTCTGTCTCCTACTCCTATGCACTTACAAAGACCACAACACTGCACGATCACTCCCATGGGCAGTACAGGAGAGTGAGCAAAAATGAACTCTGGATGGAGCGGCACACCCGTAAATGTGAACGGGCAGGAACACTGGAACCCAATCGCACTGGACTGCACACTTCCTGCAGATTCCACAGTCAAATAAAGGCAGCCTGTCCATCAGGTAGATGAGTCACAGTCCACAGGAAGAACATCTAGGTTACCCTGTAATAGTTTTAAAGACTTTACTTCCAGAATCTGAGAGAACATTGTCTTGGTGCTCCAGTTTGTTTTGTGAAGCTGTGTATGAAGCTACACATGTCCTATTTCAAAAATTCACTTTCTCCTATTAACAGTGGCTGAAGGCAGAGGAGATACTCTGAACCATATCAATGTATTTATCTACTCAAAAAACACATTCATCTGGGTGTGGTGGTACATACCACTGATAACAACTACGGGGTGTGGGTGGGGCCAGAGGCAAGAGGACTGCAAGTTTGAAGCCAGTCTGGGCAATTTAGTGAAACCTTGTCTCCAAAGAAAATAAAAAGGGATGGTGCGTTGCTCAGCAGAGAGCACTTGCCAAGCATGTGAGGCCCTGGGTTCAACCCCCAGTACTGCAAACAAAAAAACAAGTTAAAATAAAGCAATAACTGTTATCTGCAGCAACGTAAAAGTCTAAGTTCATTCGTTCCCTGTACTTTCTATATTTCTGCTTTTTTACTACCATTTCCTATTCTAACTTAAGTCTGATAAACTTGGACATCACACAGTGCAGGCCCCACATTCCACTTCCAACAGACCCAAGAACTCCCTGCCTCCATGCTGGGAGGTAGCCATCTCATTTGTCCCACTGTCAACAGCAAGAGCTTGTTCTAGGAACCTGTGTTCCCATTCCTCATGTTATTTCCTTGGTTAAGGCACTGGTGGGGCTTCCCAAAGCCAGTGGGGTATGTCTGCCCAGGACCTACAGGAGTCTTCAGGAATAACCCACCTACCCCTCTGGACTCCATTCCCAACATCCCCTCATCTCACCCCATGCTAGAACCTTCCAGTTCTCCGAAACATCACATTCTCCTTGACTGGGCCTCTGAAGTGCTGAGACCCCCTGCTGCCTGCACTAAAGGCATTTGTTCCAGACATCTTCCAGGCTAGAGGAAGTGCCTCCACTGTAAGCTCCTGAAGCACCTTGTATTTTCTCCACTCCTACACCCCAAATGCACTCTAATGGCTCAATCCAACCTCCACCAGACAGGCTCTCTGAGGGCACAGCCCATACCTGCCTGTCCATTGTTTTATATTCTGCTGGCTGATGCAATGTCTGATACACAGCAGGTATTCCTGAAATATCTGCTGACTACACAGATTGTAAATTGTGCTCAAGTGGTCAAATTTACCTAAGATTGGACCTATTTTATGAAACTGGAAAAACCAGTCTCGGGTTTCTCAGAAGAAACCACTCTGCTTCCTGACCATGATGTCCTGAGCTGCTTTCCTCTGCCATAATATTCAACCTCACCTTGGACCCAAATCTATGGAGTCAGCTGTCTGTGGACTGAAACCTCTGAAACTGTGTGAAATAATTTTTTTCTTTCTCTAAAAGTGTTCTTGTCAGGGCTTTTGGTCACAGCAATGAAAAAGCTGACTGAAACAGAAATCGGTACATAGAGTGGGGTCCCTGTTGGGACCAACCTGACCATCTGGTTCAGAAGAATTTGGAGCTGATTTGTGGGGGGAAAATTTTTGAAAAGTTCAGCAGTGAAAACTGGAGAAGCTTTAGAATGTTGTAACTGGAGCTTAATGAGCCACTGATGGGAGGTCAAAAAACCAGAATGCAAACAGGACTATGGACAGTAAAGACTAGGCTCATGAGGGTTCATAAGAGGACTCTATTGGAAATTGGACTAGCAGGCATTTGTGTTATGTTCTGGCTTGGAAGTCATTTACATTTTGCCCATGTCCTGAGATTTTCTGTGAGCCTAAATTTAAAGGTGATGGACTTCTTAATGGGACACAGGAAATTTTGAGGCAGCACAGCAGTCAGGTAGTGGCATGGAGAGTGCTGGTAGCTTTTAACCAAGTTTACTGTGATGACCAGGAGCAGAACAGAAAAATTTCAAAAACTTGAAGTTTGGCCAGAAAACTGCAAGTAAAACTGTGTCCAAGGAAGGTATGGTTGGTAAAGTGATTAGGGCTACTAAAGAAATGCTAAATGCTTTACCCAGAACCATAGGAAAGATGGCTTGATGGCATCTCGGGAGTTGGCAAGACCATACCTATCTCAGGCTCAAGAATGTAACAGAATTCCATTGAGAGGAGACCATGGGGGCACTCTGCTTGAACAGAGGAGCCTAACAAGTTGTTTCACCAAGTACAGCTGCCCAGGCATTTAGAGGTTGGTGCAACTGTGGTCCCAGGAGGCTTGGCTACTGCTTGAGATGGTGTCAGACCTTGGCATAAATCACACGGTACTGGTTCTACAGGAATGCAGGATGGGTTAGGGGGTCATGAAGGCTTCCACTGAGAGGCCAGGAAAAGTATAGTAGAGTTGGAGTCCCTGTGGGTTGCCCCTGAGAGAGCAATACATGGAGATGTGAAAAGGAAGCCAAAGCTGCAGTAGAGACACCTCCACCCCAAGAGAGGCCAGTAATGTGAGACATAAGCCAACAAAAGTTGTAGGAATTAAAAAGAAAGAAGCCAACAGAGAAACCACAACCAGCAAGGTCATAAGGTAGAGCTACACCAGCCCTTTAGAGAGAACATCGTGAGGCCATGTGCCTCAGATGCTAGACATGGAGCTAGACTTGTTTGCCCAATTGGATTTCAGTCTTGCTTTGGTCCCATTTCTTCTTTCTAAACCCCTATTTCTCCCTTGTGGAATGGAAATGTTACTCTGTGCCATTATATATCCGATATAACTTGGACTTTTGGGTAATGCTGGAACCAGGACGGAATGTCGGATTTACACTGGGTGTCCCCCAATGCTTGTGTGTAAGTCCATGCACACAAGAAAGCTTAGAGGCAAAATGATTGAATTATGAGAGTTTTTAACCGAATCAGTGCATTAACTGGGGTGACTGTAGGCAGGTGGGGAGCAGCTGGAGGTGGGTCACTAGGGTGTGTCTTTGTGGTTTATATTTTTCCCCTGGTGAGTGAAGTTCTGTCTGCTGTTTGCCATGTCTTGAGTGGCTTTCCTCTGCCATGATATTCACTTGAGGCCCAGAGCTATGGAGTTGGCAGTCTATGGACTGAGACCTCTGAAACCATGAAGACCAAATAAACTTTTTCTTCTCTTAACAAGGAAAAACAAAACAAAACTGAAGGACCTGTGAAGCTACCTACTCTAGCCCTTTGTTTATAAAACAGGCACATGAAATTGGCCACCCACAGGAGCCTCTGCAGCAAGGATGCAGTCTGACCTGGCACTTCCTCAGGGTCAGGAGTGAAGAGTAGGATCCCCCCCTGGGGCTGTTCCCCAGTGCTCTGGGAGGGCCTCCAGATGACAACCATGAGTAGGCAGGCTGGCGCCACCAGGAGCACTACACTAGCCGTCTACGGCAATTCCTGGAAAAACATCCTAGGCCACACCCCTGATGACACCAAAAGCCCCAGCTCACATGAGCCCATGCCCACTGCGAGTTCTGGGGTTTATTACAAATGCCAGAAGAAACCCCTGGAACTATTAACTCCTGGATTTGAAGGTGGTCATATAGTCAGAGGCAAGACCCCAGAGACGTGTGTTCTTTCAACTTTAATACAGGTCATGTTGTGTGAACAAAACTCTTTGAGTTGGAGGAGAAAAGACCACTAGCACTCACATCTCTTCTGGAATTCAGATGGCTCCATGTTGTTCCACCCCTAGTACCTTCTTGGGGTATGTGGACTCTGATGGATGATGGCCAGAAGGCTATTCTGTCCCAAACCAACACTTCATGGCTCATGCCTCTGATTGTGTTATGGTAAGAATCCAGTGGACTTACACATCTCCAAATTTAACAATGAACCAAGAGACTGACCAGAGACCTTGGCCCTGGTGTGGTCTGTACTTTCTGACCCATTGACATTACAGGTGCAGACCTGCTTCAAGCCAAATCCAGAGCTGTGGGAGGAGACAAACCTTAATCAGACCCTTAATCTCAACACGGAACTGCAGCCCACTAAGAGTTATACTGCACAAAACTGAACTGCTGAAACATACTTATCCTAAAATGACTGCTTGTGCTTTTCCCTGAGTCAGTCATGAGATCGGGGCTACAGTTCCCATTCTGCCATGATTGCATCAACATGCTCTGGGCCAATCTACCCAGCTTCATGGGGCCTCTGCTTGGCATGGGTGGGTCCCCAATCCAAAAAGTTCTGCCTGCATCCACCTTGTGATGTGATGGGTACCAGTGCTGTTTCAGGAAGGTTCTGAGTAGGTCAGATTGGAAGGGACCCCAGGACACCAGCACTAGATCAAGAACAGCCCAGTCTAGTGGGTTCTCATCTTGGTTTTGCTAACCAAAAGCTAAAAAATAAGCTGGGCTACGCACAAGCCATAATCCCAGCTGCTCAGAAAGCTAAGGCAGGAAGATATCAAGTTCAAAGCTAGCCTGACAATTTAATGAGACTCTGTCTCAAGATTAAAAGTAGAGATAGAATGCTTGCCTAGCATACAGAAGGTCCTGAATTTGATCCCCAATACCACATACACACACAAAAAAAGAAGCTAATAAAATAAATTTCTCTCTTAACCACATTAAGCCCAAGTGTCTAAATATGAGAGGAAGAAATATACAGAAGTACAGATTAGTAACGGGCTGAAGCATCTACCATGTGCCAGGCACATTTGGCTGGTTCATTTAATTTTCAATTGCAGAGACGAAATGGTTCCCAGGTATTCTGGGCACCTTTTTGGAAACAGGACCATATCTAAAGGAAGAACTGCATACAGATCAAGCAGGCAGGCCAGAGTTGAGACCCAGCAGGCCCTGCGGGAAGGCCCAGGCAAGGTGCCAGTTACATACGGAAACAGCAGATCATGAACACCAGAGCATCGCCAATTCCCTCAGCTGATTCAGTGCTCAGACCTCCTGGTTATGCATGCCCCCTCAGCAGTGTGCAGAGAGCCCCTGGGCAAGCCTGTGCATTGGTCTCCCAGTGCCATTCAGCATCCTCCAGCTGAGAAGGCAGAAACTGCCTGAGTTGTACTCACCTGCCTGAGCCTGAGGGTAGAAGGCCAATGCCCACCACCTCCGCCCCTGCACTGCAGGGTCCCAGGATTAGCTGGTCAGCCTTCCCGAGAGTCCTGCAGAGCCCTGAAGCTGCTGTGAGACACCTCAGCGGGACAGCTGCAACTCATCCTGAGTCACCAGGTGGGAGCCCGAGAGGTTCTGTTGGGCCTTTGTCTGGTGGGCAGCACAGACGGCTAGGTGACAAGCTCTAGTTCTCCTTCTGCACATATTTCTACTCCCTGGCCTGACCACTTCCCTCTCACCTGAGGCAAAAAAGGCTGCTGGGGTCACCACTGTTCCCCTGCCTCCCATCAGCCCCGAGTGAGGCCTAAAGTGTGCTGCACAGCTGGCGTCACTGTGGCCTCTAGGGCTGCAACCAAGTCCTCCCGTTCTCTACTCAGCCCTTTGGCCTCACCGGTGGAGGCAGAGCTGGGAGAGAAGGGAGCCTGAAAGTGCTGCCACATCAGGACCAGCCTAAAGCCCCATCTCTGAGGATCTCTGCTTTCTTTGGGAAAACATTTCTCCAACCCTGTTCTTATTCTTTCTCTGATAAGGTTCAGCTGTTCTACTTCAGTGAATGTTGCATTTTAAAAAGTTTGAATACAAATTAATAAGAGTGCCAGTCCTAGGGGCTGGGGATGTGGCTCAAGCGGTAGCGCTCGCCTGGCATGTTTGCGGCCCGGGTTCGATCCTCAGCACCATGTACAAACAAAGATGTTGTGTCTGCCGAAAACTAAAAAATAAATATTAAAAAAAAATTCTCTCTCACTCTCTCTTAAAAAAAAAAAAAAAAAAAAAAAGAGAGAGTGCCAGTCCTGTGCTGCCATGTAACCAGGTAGCCTTGTCACCAGGAGCTGGGATACAGCAGTCACAGGACCTTTCATCTCTGCCTGCCCCTAATCTGAAGACAGCTCCTGCTCATGGAGGATGCCAGCATTTTGTGTTTAAGGTAGTTCATCCAAGCCAGTCGCAGTGGTGCACGCCTGTAATCCCAGCAGCTCGGGAGGCTGAGGCAGGAGGATAGTGAGTTCAAAGCCAGCCTCAGCAACCGTGAGGCACTAAGCAACTCAGCGAGACCCTGTCTCTAAATAAAAAACAAAATAGGGCTGGGGATGTGCTGTGCCCCTGAGTTCAATCCCCAGTAACCGTCCCCACCCCCTGCCAAAAAAAGTCGTTTATCCAAAACTTGGAAATGAAGTCAAAGAGGGAAAACTTTTTTGCCAAGCCAAATCACGGTTTCAGAAAACCTTCAGGATCTCTTGACTTTTAGGAAAACTAAACACACTTATCAACCACTGATCATGACCAGACAGTCACAATCTGCAACATCGGGGTTAACCTACAGAACACTGATAAGGTTAGTTAAGTTTCCTTTCCACCCAGGATGAAGAATAATCCCAAAGGCTGGGTTTCATTATACAGTGATACCAATTCTGTAACCAACCCAGCAACCATTTTTTGGTATTCCTTTTATTCACTCACTACAAAAATCCTACTTCTGCATATTATCTGTGAACTAGCATCGTCATCCTTGTAGGTCCTTTATTAATGAGCTAAATAACAATGGCATGAGCTGTTTGCATGAGAATTATACTTCTAATATTTTGAGAATCACACATGGGCAGTGGATAAAATATTTTTCCCAAAATCAAAAGAAATACATGCTATTTTAAAAATATAAACAAGCATGAAAACACAGAAATAAAACCTTGTAATCCTCCTACTTGGCTCTAAGCACTATTGCAAGTTTTTGCTACCTGTTGGGTCAATCTTTTTTCTAGATACACATTCCCCCCCCCCACCGGCTTTTCTTAAAAAAGGATAAAAGTATATAAGCTACCTGTTTCTTTTCTTTAGTGATGTGTTATCACATTTACCCTGCTAATCCTCTTCCAGGTACTTGTGTGTGGCTGCAGAGACCTATCTTAGGGATGTGCTCCCAATGCCCCAAGGTTTTACCAGTTTCTACCATAAAACATTCCCTAGTGAACCTCTCGGAGGCCACCCAGAGAACCTGCTGTTTTAGCTCTTTTCAAGGAGACTGAATGCTCAGGGAGATCTTCATAACAGAAAGGGCTTAGAAGAAGAGAGTCAGTTCATCACTGTTTCCATAGCAACTAGGGTCTGGGGGCCAGGGACAGCAGGCTAGTGCTGTTCCTGGAAGGTTCAAACTTTTCACAATTCCTGAAAAGTTTAAGTAAAATGCAAAATATGGAAAGGAGATAAGCAGTAAATGGATGGTGGCAGATCACACAGAAGGTGAAGTCAAACTGCTTCAGCAACTGCCACCTCTCCCCAGTCACTGGAGAGTCCACAAGGGCTCAGGTGGTCACCCCGAGGTGACTCAGCCAAGTCCCAACTCTGTCTCCTCCTCTCCTACTGGGACCTACCAGAGCCCTCCCACACGGTGGCGACCCAGCCCTCGGCGCCCCTCGCTGTCCCTTCGCACCCCGTGAAAACTGGCCCACAGCTCCCCTCGCTGTACCTCGAATCCCATGAGGACACAGCCCACGGCCCCCCTCGCTGTCCCTCCCACCCCACGGCGACCAGGCCCTCGGCGCCCCTCGCTGTCCCTCCCACCCCGTGAGGACACAGCCCTCGGCGCCCCTCGCTGTCCCTTCCACCCCACGGCGACCCGGCCCTCGGCGCCCCTCGCTGCCCCCTCGCACCCCGTGAGGACACGGCCCTCGGCGCCCCTCGCTGTCCTCCCACCCCGTGAGGACACGGCCCACGGCGCCCCTCGCTGTCCCTCCCACCCCGTGAGGACACGGCCCTCGGCGCCCCTCGCTGTCCCTCCCACCCCACGGCGACCCGGCCCTCGGCGCCCCTCGCTGCCCCCTCGCACCCCGTGAGGACACGGCCCTCGGCGCCCCTCGCTGTCCCTCCCACCCCGTGAGGACACGGCCCTCGGCGCCCCTCGCTGTCCCTCCCACCCCGTGAGGACACAGCCCACGGCGCCCCTCGCTGTCCTTTCCACCCCACGGCGACCCGGCCCTCGGCGCCCCTCGCTGCCCCCTCGCACCCCGTGAGGACACGGCCCTCGGCGCCCCTCGCTGTCCCTCCCACCCCGTGAGGACACGGCCCACGGCGCCCCTCGCTGTCCCTCCCACCCCGTGAGGACACGGCCCTCGGCGCCCCTCGCTGTCCCTCCCACCCCGTGAGGACACGGCCCTCGGCGCCCCTCGCTGTCCCTCCCACCCCGTGAGGACACAGCCCACGGCGCCCCTCGCTGTCCCTTCCACCCCACGGCGACCCGGCCCTCGGCGCCCCTCGCTGTCCCTCCCACCCCGTGAGGACACAGCCCACGGCGCCCCTCGCTGTCCCTCCCACCCCGTGAGGACACAGCCCACGGCGCCCCTCGCTGTC